TGCGTGACGTCATCTTGGTGCAATTATGAGAGAGAAATGCTAAAACGCATATAAAATTATGTAAACAATTGCAGAAAAATGTGTTAATTTTAATATTACATGGCCCAATTTGGCAGGAATCAATAAATATACAAAGATTGATTAATTAGGAACTGGTAGTAATAATTTTGGACATGTACCCCTTTAGATAAGTACGATTTTTAGCACATGAAAAAGTGGATGTATTAACAGTGTTTGCAATGTCATGTAGACCAAAAGGAAGGTGTGCAGCAAAGTGAATTTTTGGACTTGCCATTTTAAAAAGCCATGCAGAGTGCATTTTTATATTTGTGGACGGTAGCCAACCACTATAAACTCGACAGCTGTTGACTCCACAGCTTTTATTTGATGACTTTTGGACCATTTCTGAGAGGATGCATGAGTGTGGCTTCTTTGGAAACAAATATTCTATGTAAGTAAAACATAATTTAAGCTGTANTGGTAGTAATAATTTTGGACATGTACCCCTTTAGATAAGTACGATTTTTAGCACATGAAAAAGTGGATGTATTAACAGTGTTTGCAATGTCATGTAGACCAAAAGGAAGGTGTGCAGCAAAGTGAATTTTTGGACTTGCCATTTTAAAAAGCCATGCAGAGTGCATTTTTATATTTGTGGACGGTAGCCAACCACTATAAACTCGACAGCTGTTGACTCCACAGCTTTTATTTGATGACTTTTGGACCATTTCTGAGAGGATGCATGAGTGTGGCTTCTTTGGAAACAAATATTCTATGTAAGTAAAACATAATTTAAGCTGTACTTTTAAATGTATAATAATTTGGGCACTGTTTTGTATTAGGTACGTAACAGCGCGGTAAGATGCCGCTTGAATTAGCGCCTGACGACCTTATCCACTGGTGCATTACCTCATACCAGCACTAAAAGAATCAGATACTAACAAAAATAAGTAGGTAGTGAAGTTCATGTATCTATTTACTGTATAAACTGATTTTGTATGTGTGCCATTGTCAGCAGACTAAACCAGCAACTGTCTACATTCACCGTTGAAATATACCTACTACAATTCACCAAGGAAAGGCCAACATAGTTCCATGTAGAAGCTCATAGGTCACACACATAGCACAAAGCTCGATTTGGTGTTTAATGCATGTCCTCGCCGGCAGAACTGCTTCCACTTTTTCGCCAGGTTTGTGTCCGTAGGAAACGAAAAAAACTTATATAGCATGCTTAACTTTTGTTTTAACTATTACACTTTGCCACTGCACACTTCATTTTGCTTTGTAATGTCTCAATAATTTTTTAAAACTACGCAGAAATATTAACGCACAAATATTAGAATTGTTATTTGTTTTTTTCGTATGCTCACAATCAACAATTGCACCAAGATGACGTCACGCACACAGCTCATTCTGTCAAAATCACAAAGAGCGGATTAGCGGTACCGCGATTGGCGCAATCTCTATTTCGCATTAACTTGCAACACACATTTAACAGAATTTTTAAGAGAGAGCCGTAAGTTACGTTAAGTTGCCATAATCAGACCATAAGTCTCTGCCCATGCCTGATATGGATAATAGTAACAGTTTGAAAGGGCCAACAATATCAAATAAAATGAGTATAAACAATGGCACTATATTTCTATATCGTCACTAGACACGAAGGCGAGAGCATAAAAAAACTTTAGCGTCAAAAACTCTTAACATACTTCGCCGAAGTTTTTCATAAGCATCTTTTTCGCAAAATTTTTTTACGCGCCTTTTTTCGCCGTCAAAAAACTATCGCGCCTTTATTCGTGTGTAGTGACGATATACACTTGTGATCAGCTGATTAAGTCAAGTGACATTTTGACTAGTTTTGGCTATTTTTCTTTTGTTTATTTAACGTTTATATTTTTTTTATAAAAATTTAGCACTTTGCCTATCAGCGCCACATAAATCCACATTTCAAACTTCGTACAAAACTTATGAAAATTCAACAAACTTTAGCATTTGCACCCGAATGAAGGAAAATACACAACACTGTCAGCCAAAAAAAAATTATTAAAAAATAACGCGATTTTCCAGAGTCTTGAAATTTAATGAGCTACAAAACTGCTTACCGAAAATTTTTATAAAAATTCTGAATAAAGGTTTAAAATTTTCGGGTGCAAATGTTAAAGTTTGTTGAATTTTCATAAGTTTTGTACAAAGTTTGAAATGTGGAGCTGGTTAGGTAAAGTGCTAGACTTTTATAAAAAAAACTATAAACTGCCAATAAGCCTGCACAACTTCTAGATACACTTAGTATGCATACAAGATAAAAATTGCATATATAGGAAAATTACAAAAAATTTTGTTCCACGTTTTTTTATTTTAATTTTCTTTAGTCGATAATTGGAATATAAAGATAAATCTGCTAGGTCTAAACGTAGTGAAGCATTAGAAGCAAGTATAAAAAATAATCATGATCGATTTTGAACATTCGTCTACAACAGTGATTCCCAAAGTGGTCCAGGTGGACCCCCAGCGGTCCACGGAAGACTCGACGGGTGTCCACGGTGATGTGAAAAAAATATGGGGGTCCATAAGTTGTAAATAGGGGTCCACGAAGTTTTATCTGGTTTCGATGTAAAGAACCAAAATGGTTGCTTGATAGCCCCTTTATTTAACTTAAATTTGCTGGCGACAGAGATTTAAGCACTTGTGTCTTTTCAACGCTACAGGATAGTACGCCACCATTACCTTTATTGAAGAGATTCTATAATGTTGAGTTCCTTGAGATTGAATGCTGCTTTGATTCCATCGCTGAGACCGGACTCGCACATTGTCGATTCTTCACTGATGACTCCAAAACTAATTCTGGGTCATGATCTGGGTTCTTTTTCGAGTTTAATGGAGATAAGCTTCACTTTTCTGTAGGGGAATATGCTTCGGTCTTCCAGATGAGGTAATTGCAATACTCAAAGCCATGGACTAAGGGTGGAACATAGGTGGAGGGGAAGGAGTTTACGTGACTGCAGTGACAACCAAGCTGCACTTAAGGCATTGACCAGCCCTCTATTTAAGTACTTCCGAACTAGTTCGGCAATGCAAGTCTCGACTAAAATATGATGGTGAAAATAACGAGGTTCTTTTACTCTGGATGCGAGGTCGCTCTGGACATCTGATCATTTGGTCAGAGTTGGCTCAGACCAGGCATTCCTCGGTCCGCAACCAGTGTTAGCACTCCCAACTTCGGCAACTGAAGCCACCATCAGAAACTGGGTGAATACTTCGGTCGGAAATGACTGAGAGGCATCGAGGGGATGCAGGTGGGCAAAACTCATGTTGCCTTCAATCTCACAAGGTTTATCTAATTTTTTG